GAATTCCAGTCCAGTTGCAAGGAGTAGTGGTACTGCTGCTGCTGTTTAGGGACCATRAAGTGAGACCGTGGGAGCTTAAACTATTTTTCCATTTCAGCAAGGCCTCTGCTTCTTCCTGTGCTGGGGTCTGCAGAAAAGAAAAGGAAAACAGAAGAAGAAAGTAATAAAACACTTCTCTCATGATTGCACCTTAAATGGTTTAAATCGTTAGCTTAATTTGCCTAGGTTATAATGTTGATGTTCCATTTGTCTCGTTTAAAGAGTTAAACATATATTCAATACATATATCAGGATAAGGTTGTCTACTCTCTCTCTTAAAGGTTTTGTAGTTAACTTGGTTCCCCAACTGAAATTTCTAATTCAGCATCAGATGAGACTAGTTATAGGCTTCATTTGGCATTCCTTGTTTTAAGGATTCATCCCCTTTTTGTGGTTGAAAACTTAGGTTATAATTTTGAGAAAACTTATGGTTGTTTGGAAAAAACAGTTTGGGCCGTTTGGGGGCTTCCTATAAGAAGAGAAGATACCAGCCTAGGGGGTATTTGGTATTGGAGTTGTGCTGCCCATAGTTTTGGTTGATCAATAAAATCTGTGAGAAATGTGTTGTCATATCATATGTCAAGTGTCATTTCAACATTAAACTAGAAAATTGAAGGCCTTTTTGGAGTTCTGTCCACTTCTTGGGTGTGTTCTTTTTTTGGATTTTGAGAGGGGAGAAGTTGGTCAATGGGAAGAATCACATGTTCATTTTTGAGATTTATGTGGGGATTAGGGAAAGTTTCACTTACCCAAGCAAGTGATACTCATTTCTTAGGTGGGTAAATAACTTTGCTAACACTTGAATTTGACAAAAATGCCCATTTTAATAATGGATTTTTATGATTAAAATAATCATTATCTTATTTACTTGGGAAATGAAAGAACATGGGTAAATGCACTTACCCTCGTGAGTGTTTTTTAAGAAAAACTTACTCAAATAATTACATTTACCTAGGTAAGTAACTTATCAAAAAACGAATAGGGCCCTTGTGTTATTGGTTTCTCAAATGTATTTACACATAGCTCCCCTGTACACAACACCAATCCCCCTCTCCTTGGCACTGATCCGAACTGTTAGGAATGCATTAAGAATTTTGAGTTGGACTGAACTCAAATTATCCCAAAAATGAATGCATGAGAAATGTCTAATTTATCAATTCAAAATGTTTTCAAAAAATTTCAGGTAGAAAAAATTTCTATCAAAAAATTATAGGGGTTTTTATAATTCAGCCCACCTCAGAAATTTGACCCCCACCGTACAGGTCAAATGAATCCTGACCATGGATTGATGTCAAATCCACGAACAAAATGCGATTTATAAGAGGGCTACTAATAGACTAGGAGGGATTGTAATTTCACATTTTTCAAGTGGATTGCAGTCCACTTATCCCTAATTTTTTTTTTATATTGATTAATCCAAAACATAATGCCACTGTATCAAATACCTCCTTAGTTTTTTTGTTTGTTTAAAAGAATATAGATTGTAATTACTCTTTTTTCTAACCCAACAGCGTTGCTAGCTAACATGCGATGCACATGAAGCCTCCTTACCCCAGGCTGATTTTACCAAACAATAACCAAATTGATTGATGGATGGATTGGTTTGGTTTAGGTAGACAGGATGAATTTGGAATTACTGACCACAACATTGCTGGCCATACATCAGAA